GGGGAAAAAAATAAGAACCAAGATACTCATGTAAAGGTACAAGATCCCAATGATGAATGTAACTGTATTTTATACCAAAAATGTACCAATAAACTTAATGGGAAAAAAATCAAAATATTCCATAATTATTGTAATTCCATTTTGGTTTTTTCTTTTACTTTTAAAATTCATCAGGAACCTCAGAACAGTGAAAGCCCTCAGATTGACCAAATAAAACCATCTCTCCTCAAGACAGAATTAAGATACAGCAAACACTAAACTGACATATTGTGATTCAAATAGATCCCAAACAGTCCTTGGGGAGAATACATAAGAATTGGCTTTTTAAGAGTTCTCTTGCATTTTTTGCAAAATCTCTTGAGACTCTGTGTATACATCCGTGTGTGTGCATGCACACACATAAGGATGTGTGTGTATGTGTATTGAGAGGCCTTTTATTTCCACAGGACCTCAGTGTCAGAGAACTGTCTGACTAGACTAGAAATTAGACAGCTGTGTCCTGAGGCAAAGTTGTACCCAATAACCCCACTCATATCCAGAAAAGGCAGGCAGTATAACTGTAAAGGGTGCTTTCTTTATAATGACTGCCCACACTTAAAACCCAGTACTAGAAAGTGGATTTTTTTTTAGGTTTGATATGGATTCAGACTGACACATGGATATTGCCAGGATTTGAATGTGACCTCCAAAATTCATGTTGGAAATTTAATCCCTAATGCAACAGTGTTGACATGTGGGACTTTTAAGAGGTGATTAATGCCACTTTCTCAGGAGTGGATTCCTGATAAAAAGGAGTTTGGCTTTCTCTTGCCCTCAAGCTCTATTTCTTTTCCATCTTTTGCCTTGAGATTATTATAGACAGTTAAGTTAGGTAAAAACATAGGCAGTCAGATAGGGCTTGTCTCTCAAAAAGAGTCAAGACAAAGACAAAAACACATTACAACTGTGGCTGGAGACACATCTATTGGAGAGCAGGCCTCAAGATAAAGACAAAATGACAAGGCCTATATACTTCCTCAAAAGACAAACACTGGGCCTAATAAAGTCTAGAAAGACATCAGTCACCCCGGTGAGTGTCCAAGACCTCTGGGCCCATCACTTCTAGAAAAAGTCTTTGTTCTTTCTATATACACTTACTACATGACTTGTTTCCCCATTAGTTCAACATCACCTAGGTGAGTATATTTGTAACCTTATTGGTTAATGGTGGCTGTAATCCACATTCTACCAACATGGGTTTTGTTCTCTAAAACTCCCCTGTAAAGTGGGGGTCCCTGCCTACCCATTTGGATTTCCTCCTACCTCTCAGGAGCTATCCTCTCAATAAATATTTTCCTACTCTTAACCTCCATTGTTCCTAGAATTTATTCTTTGATTTTACAGAACACAAACTCTGTGTATCAGACATCTAACAGGTTGGGAGATATCATATTTTCATAATTCATCTCCTATATCACGATGACACTGCTCAAAGGCCCCTACCAATGGCCAGCACCATACTCTTGGACTTTCTAGCCTCCTGAACCATAAGCCACATAAAGTGCTATTGTTTACACATTACAACGTCTCAGGGATTTTATTATAACAACACAAAACAGACTATGACAGATGTCTTTAACAGGAGTAGAATTATTTGCTGGAAATGACAGTGCAGAAGGGATATTTCTCATGGTTAACGTGCCTTCACTGTGACGTTCCTAATGCTAGCTTACAAACTTCCTTCAGTGGTAGAAATGTACTACATGTGTAATAAACATTTGTTGTATCGTTCACTGTAATGAACCATGGAATGTAGCTAAAGTGACTGAAGAACTGACTTTTAACTTTTACTTATTTTTAATTAATTTAAGCAGCTACATGAATTTCCTTCTGTTTCTCTCTCAACAATCTCTTTCCACACTTCCTTTTCTGCCACTCCAGGTCTTTCAAATTTTTTATTTGCAAGAATTAGATGTTCAGAATAAAAGCCATTTTCAGTTGTACGTATTTTTGTATCTTCTCTGTTCTATTGCTTGCCTTTTCATCCTTTTAATGATCCTTTGATGTCTAAAGTTTAACTACTACCAATTTATCATAATTAAATTTAGGGTTGGTACTCTTTGTTCTCCTGAGAAGCATTTTCCCTTTCCACAGTCACGATAATTCTCCTAGTTATTGTCTAGAGTTGTATTTTTCACATTTAGGTTGGCGATCCACCTTGAATAGATTTTTTTTTTTTGCATAGATAGGAGGCAGAGTTCATTTTCCTTTCAATCTACACATTTCATGGACCGACCACTAATTTATTAAAATAACTTTCCTCTTTGCTTCACAGTAGCTACTCCTTTGGTGAATGTGTGGGAGGGGATGGGTTTCTGGCTTCTCTGTTCATTTTCACTGGTCTTCATTTTTAAAATCTTTGCGCCAATATCACCATGCTCTTATTAGTATGACTTCATAATAAATCATCCAATTTTGTTCTTCCCTAGAAGTGCTCGGAACCCAAACCACAAACTTCTGAACTTCCCTCCGGAAGGAGAACAGGAAGGCACTCAGGCAGGAATAGACTCCTTTTTCTGCCCACGCCTTGTGGCGTGCACGTCCGGTGCGCATGCGCACCCGAGAAGCTGGGATTGGGCCGGTCTAGTTGGCTGGGTTGAGGTCATTTCCGAGGCGGGAGGATGAAGTTGATTGATCATGGTCTCTCAGGCAACCAGGTACGGTTTGGGGAAGAAGGAACCTCCGCAGCGGAGGTGCCTAGGGTCTGGACTCGCACTATGACGGGCGGTGTATCTCGACTCGAGTGAATCCTTGCTTGGGTGAATGGAGGGAAGCGGCAAGGAAGCTGAGCCGAGGTGCAGGGCCCAAGGGAGCGGTTCCCGTCCCCAGATGGCTTCCGGATCCCAGGCTTGGAAGAAAGTCTCAGCTCAGCTCAAACAAAACTTTAGAGTACTGGCTCTGGTGTGTTCTGGTTGGGAAGCCCCTAGTTGTCCCGGCGGTCTCGTGTTGGTTTCAGTAGAAATGCTAGTAGAACTGTGGCCCGGGGTGTGTATGTGAAAGGCCACTGGGCCCAAGTGCACTGCCTCTCTTTCGCTTGTTTTCCCAGTTGAGCACGGATGTTTTTCAGTCCCTGTATAGTGGACTGCGTGGAGTGACCAAAGGCAGGAGCAACGGAACCGGTGGCACCTTAGCCTTGTAAGGAGTGTTAGAAGTAGCGAAGGAGATTTGAATTTTCGGAAGGGAAAGGGTTAGTTAGATATCTACTCCTCTAGTACTTTGTTCTGCTTCTCCCTAGCTGTGCGACTTTGACCAAACGTCGCAAGCTCTCAGTGTGTGTTTCTTTAGCTGTAACTTTGGGAAGAATACACCCATTCTTAAGGCTGTAGTGAGGTGTGAATGAGATTGCACTTGCAAGGTACCTACTTAGCTGGTCATTGGCATCTAATAGGTGTGCAACAAATAGTACCCACATAATTCTCAGTTCCCAAGTTTTTGGTTTAGAGATTTGAGAATTGACAGAACACACACACACACACACACACACACACACACACCACTTTGGGGTCTCTTGCTCTGTTGTCCACTGACCACAAACTCCAGGCTCAAGCTATTCTTCTGCCTTAGCCTCCTAAGTTTCTGGAACCACAGGCATGCTACTGTACCTGGATACTTTAGGGCCTCATATTCACATGTGTTTAGTGAGCATAATGCTTCCTTCTCTTAGGGGAATTGCCAGAAAATGCTTTTCACATCATCCAGCCTGTATAGGAGAAAAAAAAGGAGCCAGTTTCTAGAGAAGTGGCAGGTGGAAAGGTGATCCTTAGCTTGGTGGTAGGTACAGAGTTTTAATTAGCAAAAAAATTTACTTTTTCAGAAGGGCAGCAAGGGTGACTAACTTTTGTGAACACCCACTAGAAAGGGTGTTTTAGTTATCTTTCTTCCTCCACACCACAACAAAGTGGGTGATATCACCTTATGTTTTCAGAACAATTATGGAAGCTAATCTACCTGCAACAAATTAGGGAGGCAGCCTTTTGGTAAAACCTATGTTTATTCAGATACGAAAGTTTGCCTTTGGATGGGTCTTTTAAAAATACATTTAAAAGATTAAGGGCTGAGGAGTGTAGCTCAGTGCAGAGCATTTGCTTAGCATGCAGGATGACCTGGATTCCAAACCCTCCCCTGAAAAGCTAGAATTGTTGGTGTGCACCTGTAATCCAGGTAACCCAAGAAAAGAGAATCATTTGAGGTCAGGAGTTCAATACCAGCCTGGGCAACATAGTAAGACCTCACCTCAAAAAAGTATAATCTAGAGCTGTACCATAACATAATCAATGTATAGAGGCCCCAACTTTTTCCCAAGATGATGCTTTGTCTTTCTTCTGAGACTTATCATGGAAACCATTAGAGATGGAAGGAATGGTCAGGACTTAATGGTCCTGGAATGGTCAGGAGTGACCAGTAAGATTGACTGACAGTGTTCTTTTCTTCTGGAATTCCCTGGGGGTGGCATTCTGATAACAGCAACAGAAAAGAAAGTTGAAAATTAAAAAGTTAACAGCTAGTTATGGTGGTGCATGCCTGTAATCCCACCACTCTGGGAGGCTGAGGCAGGATGATCATAAGTTGAAGCTCAGCCTGGCCAACCTAGTGACTTAGCAAGACCCTTTTTCAAAATAAAGAAAAAAAAATTAGAAAGAGGAGGAGACTAGGGATATAGCTCAGTGGGAAGGCCCTGGGTTTAAACCTGAGTACTGCAAACAAAGTTAAAAGTTGATTGAAGGTTATGTAATCCTCGGAGGGCTTGTTACTTTAAAGGGGTTGTGTAATAAAAATTGATGTACATGTTGTGTTTTGCTGAAATTATCTTTTTTTTAGGAGTCAAGATTACCTAATTTGATAAATTTTTTTCCTTTGAAATGTTTGGTGCTACTTTGGGATCATATACAATATTTTATGCCATTACATTGGCTAATGAATTAGGTGTTTCTTTTATTGTAGAAAACACAAACTCTGACAAAAAAACATAACATTGGAAAGGATCTTCTAATTTTGGGGGGGTTTACAGATTAACTAGAAATCTTGTAGGAACACTAAAACGTGTTCATTTGTGAGATACATTGTGTGTGTCATTGGGTGATTTGACCGTTGTGTAAACATCAAAGAATATACTTACACAGACTAAGCAGGCTATACCAGTAGGTGATATATAGTCTTGTGGGACCATTGTCATCTGTGTGGTCTATCATTGGCTGAAACATTATCCACTGAAGAGTTATACTTAAACTGTGTTTAAAGTTGTATATTAAGGACATAGTTACAAAGCCGGGCCTGGTGGTGTACACCTGTAATCCCAGCACTTGGGGGGCTGAAGCAGGAGGACTGCCGCAAGTTCAAGGCCAGCCTGTGCTGTATAGTGAATTCAAGGCCAGCCTGAACTACATAGAGAGACCCTGTCTCAAAAAACAAAAACAAAAGACGTAGTTACAAAGGAATTTGAGAAGGAAAGTTTGTGACATAACAGATGTTCACTAAGGAACCTATAACCTTAGCTCCAGTCAATTAGTCTGTGGAAGTCACTTGGACATAGTGATTCTAGGTTAGGCACATGACCTGTCTATTCAGAGTGAAGTTGAGGACTTCGGTTCAGTAGTATAGATAGCCCCGGTTATTATTAGAAGCCATCTTACTGTCAAAAAAGAAGCCAACCTGAAAACAAGCCAGTACATGGAGGACTGCTATTTCAGAAAAATTAAGTTGAAAATCTAATCAAAGTAATCATAACCTGCCCTACCTCTGTATTTTTCAGATTGGGTAAAACAATTCTCTACAGATTAAAATGTGTAATATGTATTTGTTTTATTCAAATTTGTAATAGTATGTTTGTATGAAGGGAGCTGTTTGTACCCTAGTCAAGAGTGTGGACTGTGCCTTCCCTACCATATTTATGTCCTTTTTTCTCTATTTAATAATAATACAGATTGAGTATCTCTTATCTGAAATGGGACCATAAATATTTTTGGATTTCAGATATTTGGATTTCAGATATTTGGATTTTGATATATGTACATATGTATAAAATGAAATATCTTGGGTATGGCACCTAAGTCTAAACACAGAAGTCATTTATATTTCTGTGTATATACCTTGTGGCCCAAAGGTAAGATGATACAGTACTTTTAGTACATAGGCATTTTGACTGTGACCCATCACATGAGATCAGAGGTAGATTTTTTTGTCTGTAATGTCCTATTGGTGCTCAAAAATGTTTGGATTTCAGAGAATTTTGGAGTTTTCAATTAGGGATGCTCAACTTGTAATAGTTAATATTTATTGAGCATTTGCTATATACCAGGCACTATGCCAAGCTTTTTATAGGGATTATTCATTCTTTGTAAAGTAGAAACTATTATCTTCACTTACAGAGGAAGAAATGGGCTGAGATGCTAAGAAGTTTATACCTAGCTGTGGAGCTAGTAAGATAGCCAATTCTGTTACTCCAAAACCCAGTGTTTATTTATTTATTATAGTCAGTCCTTATTTATTTATTTATTTTTGTGGCTCTGGGGGTTGAACCTGGGGCCTTCCATTTACTGGGCAAGTGCTGTATCACTGAGTTGCACCCCCCCCATTCCTTCATTTAACAGATATTTATTTTTATTTCTGCTGTGTCCCAGCAGTGTGCTAGGTGTTTGGGAATACAGTGTAGATAGAGAGATCTTATTCTGAGAGCAGTACGGCTCCCCAGTCTTGGTTTATTTCTTGGAACATATCAACTCCACATCTATTTTCTTTTTTGTTTGTTTTGGTTTTTTTGGTTCTAGGGATCGAACTCGGGACCTTGCGCTTTGCAAGGCAGGTGGTGGAACCACTGAGCTAAATCCCCAGCCTCACATCTATTTTCTAGCTCTGTCTTGGAGCCCAGTTTCCTATCCTCCAATACACAGTTTGACCTCTGGTTGCCCACAGGAGATAATTTGGGATGGAAAGAGGAATAGATACCTAAATGTGAGACTTCATCAGCATGTGGCAATTTGCAGTGTGCAAAGCAAAATAGATGCAGAGTGCCAATATTGTATTTTATCATTTTCCCCCGGTTTGTAAGTTAACAAATATTTTTTTAGCCCCATTATGATCCAAGCTCTGTTAGCTACCTTATGCAAATGTGAAAAAGACATACTCTTTCTCTCCACCAACCCTCCATAATGCATAATCTAGTTCATGTCTCACTTGCCTCCCACTTAGAATGCTACAGTTGTTTTATCAACATTATTCTTCAGTATGTATATATATTTTTAGCATGTGCTAGGGATACGGTGGTAAGCAAATAATCATGGTCTCTGTCCTCATGGATCTTAAGCTCTCAGTTGGGATTGGAGGACCGAGAGAGAAGGGGAGAATAAGGAAGGTGAGGTTGTAGAGGAAGACAGAAGTCATACCGTGCAAGCCTTTTAGCCATGTCAAGGACTCAGGGCTTATCCTAAGGAGTGTAGGGGATCTATCGAAGCTTTCCAGTTGGAGTAGGACCACCAGGTCTGTGTTTATGAAGGACTACTGTAGATCTTCTCTGGCTATTTAGGATGTATGGTCAGCAGGGTTTGGTGATAGATTGGTTCTAGGTGAGAAAGGAAAGTGATGTCTGGGCTTATTCTTTTTTGGGAGGGCTTATTCTTTTCTGACTTATGTATCTGTGATAGGAAACCCTGAGGGAAGGCTG